TGTGTCTTTTGTGATTAACACATCAGAACTTTACTCTGCCAAAATCTACGCGTTCAGAGCAAATAGAAGTGTGCCTGGCATGTAATAGTTTTTAGAATGAATCAATGAGTGAATATTTAAACCAGTAAGCACAGAGTATATTCAATATTGTTGTAGATTTTCTTTCTTCAAAAACAGGCAAATTAACATTTCTTTTTCATGTAGAAAAAACAATGGGATAGAAAACTTGATTTCCTTGCATAAAGGAACACTATTGCTCTGTAATAATCATTTAGAATTTCTTATTTGGCTTTTTTCAATGCCGCCACTACAACAGTCACTGTGATAATTATCATAATGAATTTTTACACATTTACATGAAAAGTACAGTGATATATTTTACTAATGATGACCTGTTTATGTCATAAGCACTTCTGTTTTTAATATAAAAGTTGAAAACAAAGTTACATGAAAAAGGATCTCTTGAAATGGAACAATTCACTCAGAGATTTTTTTTATAGTCAACCAAAGTTGATCTTGAACTTTTCAAAATGATTTTCATATAGATGCTAATAGTAGAGCCTTTTGCTCAGATTTTTGGACTACTCAATGCCTGTGACACCATTTTATAAATTATATAAAATGGAAATGCGATGAGATGGACAGACTTAGAAAGGTCAGAATTTACTAGGATTTTTTTTAATATGTGGCATGGCAATTTGCCTTTTGTAGGATGAAAATATTAATTGTACACTTTTTATCACAATTGTTATGCACCTCCTTGCGGTCTAAAGAGTCTCCTGGTATTTCTTAATCAGTAAATCTCAGCTAGTCTCTGTATCTTCCTTTTCATTAATTTGTTGCTCCTGTTGCATCCAGGGTTGCCTAAAACCACCTCTTTATGATTCCCTCTGAAAATGGCTATACACTAATATACAACCTTTGAGTTCAGGGAGAAGGGAAAGGTGTTAATTCAGATGTTATGGAACTGTGATAATGCTATTATTTAAGGCACTTATTTGGGTACGTTTATACTTTGTAGTTTTATAAATAAGCCCAAGGGGCTCCTCTAGGTTGTCACTATCCTCCTTGAATCTCAGAGCCTGTCTGTCTTATCCTATCCGACAGTAGAATTGATGCTGCTCTAATCCCTGGAAGTTTGGAACTAATGAACTGACTGCTGAGCTGCCGCCACGGAGCTTGGTCCCAAACTATACTGTACTTCACACTCGATTTATTCTCCAGATGGCGAGACTGTGCCGCCCCGCCGTGAGGGACCACCTCTTCCACTGGAGTGTAAAAGTGGACGGATGTTGTTTTCTTTGCAGATTTGATAATTCGGAGCTAGAAACTTGCAAGATGATTAGTTATTAGCTTTAATGGGTGCCAATTGAACCAACTGCACGCATATTTTCTTCTTTAATTTCGGAGTCGGCAAGTCTTGGTGATGGTTGATTTATCCGCTTTCTGACGTCACCGGAGTGTGTCTCTTCCCCCAAGTGATAAGAACCCAGTCCCTGAAGTCATAGTATGCCTTGGTTCCTGGCCCAGACAGAGTCACATAATACGGTGGCTTATGTATAAGGACAAGTTTATTAGCCACTGGTCCACTGCACTGAGCAGCCCATTGCACGAAATATCTATTGAAAGTGGGGACCTTGGTGGCGCCACTTTTCAGAACAGGGGCCTGTGAAGACGCTCATGTGTGCCACCCCTTTGTGACCTGTGCTCTGAAAAGTTTACCTCTGGAATCGTACATGGTACAGGACACACTATGGTAACGAGCCTCCGCAAAGATCGAATGTAACTGCTGATAAAGGCTTTAATTCCATTATTGCATCTTTTCCAGCTTGTCAGATTTTAGGCGGACAAGTTCATTCCACAGTGAGAACTGTTTCCCAAGGCTGTCATGTAGTGTTAGAATATTTAGAATGCCGTCCCTTTTAGACCTCATTTTCAACAACCTGTTTTGCTCCCAGAACATAAGACCCCCCGCAAAAGGTTCTTTTTCCGGCGGTTCTTTTTGCTCTCATTTCCTTTTCCTTCTTTCCCCAGGAAGCACTTGTCTCCCAGTGATTTCAGCAGTTCACCCAGATAGCCATTCTGAGAAGATGAGGTCTGCCAAGCCACTTCTCACTAACCCACCTAATCAGGTGGACGTTGGGAGGATGGTCAAGGCCAAACAGGAAGCAAAGAAAAAGGGGAAAACAGAAAGAGGGAGGTGATGGAGATGAGAGAGACATAAGCGAGATGACCCAGAGAAGTGAGATGTGGGTTGGAAACAGAGAGAGAGAGAAACTCAGAATTTCTTTTCACAACTGGGTGGAATGTGACTCTGTCTAGCTAAACGCCGAGAACTTAATTGTTCCTAGAAGCTGCTTTCCTCTCATCCCGACAGATGGTATGGGTGTGTTTGCTAGCACAGTAGCATATTTCACCATTAAAATACCAAAAGGAGAAAAAAATCAACATGCTTGTTGGTTGGTGTAAATTCCGTGAAGTTGTTGGATATTTTGGGATACATACCACAGGGACGCACACTTAGTTTATGTAAATTTCAACAAGCAACAGCCTGTTAATAAGGGTTTGTATGGAAATATACCTCAAAAAGCATCATCTTTTTTTTTTTTTTGGAAAGGTTCACAGAGTAAAATCCTGAGTAGACACTGCCCATTATAACCTGAAAAGAGCTAATCAGATTGGCCTAAAATTGGAAGTAGGTACTTCATTTGCAGCCAATTTCACAAGGTCTGAATTTTACTAAGTAGACTGGAATGTGCCGAAACCATGGCAATTTGACTTTAGATAAAATCACAAACAGGTTTAGAACATGAGCTTTGAACAAAACAGTCCCCTTCAAATCCAAGTGCGACATAACAAAGCAGCTTAGAGGTCAGATTTTATTCGCCGCCAACATTCGCAATTTAGGACACGGCCGTTGCCAGAACAGAGATGATTATTCAAATAATTCACGTTTTAAAATACCTTTTGGCCTAACCCACCTAGTTAGTTCCCTTCAATTTTCCATTCACTCTGTCCCAATAGTCCCTTTACAAGCCTGACCTGCGGTATTGAAAGAAAACCTCATAGTTGAAATGCTTACAAGTTGGAGTGGTCTTGGGCTTGGAGCTGTACGGGCTACACTGAGCATAACATGTTTTAGGTTCTCTGAGGCCACAGATGTATATACACATGCTGCCGAAGGGCTAGAAACATTTCTCTCTGCAGCTCTAGAGGGCTTTGTTGTTGTTAGTTGCTGTTGAGTCAGGCCCCCACGCACAACCGAATGAAACACTGCCCAGTCCTGTGCTATCCCCATGATGGGTTGCAGAGTGGACCGTTGTGATCCATAGAGTTTTCACTGACTTATTTTTGGAAGTAGATCACCAGGCCTTTCTTCCCAGATGGCTTTAGAACCATGATGTTAAGCTAATTTCTGCCCTTCGCCTTCAGGATTGTAGTATTTAGTGGATGAGGAATGAGGGCATGCTAGCGCACGAGGATGGGTAGTACGGTTGTGGAATAGCTGGCGGCATGATGTGGAACCAAGTCACTCTTGGCTGTATCATCCTTCTCTCTCTTGCTTTTGTCTAAACTTAGCCTAATTATTGGCAGTCGAAGCCCGGTAAATCAGGACTCCACAGAGCTGTCTCACACTGGCCCTCAGTACTCTGTTTCCATCTGACCTGACAACTCTAAGCTACTGTTTCCTCAGGCTGTTTAACTCAGACCACATTTGGAAGGCTTCCTTACTTCCACTGGGTCGTAGACCTACATCCGTCTGGTTTAAATCCACTGTCCTGGCTTGTCTCGTTGATTGGAATTTGAATGAATATTGGCTTAAATAATTCTTTTTTATCTCCGCTTTGGTTTGCTCTTTTCCAAGGTAAGTATTGCTGCTCAGATGGCTGTATATCATTCAAGACTGTTTTTTGTTTTGTTTTGTTTTTAAACCACATTCATCAGCAGTGAGAAGCTTTAAAGTTTTATTAGGATCATAAAAACCCTTCCCAAATGAAATTACTTTTGATAAGTGTTCATTCTGACAATGAGAGTTTGTTGAGGGCTGTTGGCAACTTGGAGGAATTTGTTTTTGAAACTGAAATTGGCAGGAAGTAATGACTTCAACTGTTTTCTCTGACTCCAGCCCCCACCCCATCAATGCACCCCTTTCTCTCTCCCCACCCCCTTACCCACCTTCACCACCCCCAACCCAAAGCCAATAAAAAGCATGTTTGATTTCATACCATTTTTTTTTTCAGGGGACAATTCAAATCCTGAAGTAGATTTTCAACCTTTCAGCTTTTCATAACTGTGAAGCAAAGACTGTCAAATCAAGGAAAAAAATGTATTTGTCTACCACTTTGTGGGATTTCTTGGTGATATGATTTATTGTCTTCCAGCTGAATAAGTTGGAGCTTTTTTTTTTTGTAGAATGGAGTGTCATTTTTCTATGAGCACCTTCTTAATTGAATGTCAAGATTCAACTCAGGTTTAAAAACAGAAGAAAAGGAGTAAAATTATGATGCATGTGGAAAAAGAAAAGCAAGCCCTTATTTTTTTTCCCCTAATGTGAATATGCTGAAAGATGGGAGTACTATTATCCAGATGTTATCTAGTTTCTTATATTTATTAACGGCGAAAACACATGCAAAGGACTTAGAACCCTGTCTAGCACTTAGTAAGTGCTCAATAAATGTTATCTCTTAATTGTTATACTTTTTCAGTTGGAAAGTAATGCCTATGAGCAAGATGACACTTCTGTTTAGAAAGGCACTGTACGTATTATGTTGGACATTATCTATGTTATAATAATCTTGAATGATGTCTGGAAATCAACTGTCTGCCCATCAGATTGGATGACTTACTTCAAATATCATTTATTTGGTAGACAGGAAATTTGTAAATATAATAATGGTGCTCACACTCTGAATCCACATAACACTTTCACAGACCATTCAACTGTGTTTCCTCTCAAGGATAAAATAAACTCAGGAGATACATTTTCTTAACACTTACAGAATGAAGCTCGACTGAGAATAGTAAAAACTCTTGAAGACTTTGATCTGGGTCCCACAGAAAAGTGTGTGAGAATCAACTCAGTGTCCAGTGGTCTTGCTGAAGAAGACCTGGAGACCCTTTTGCAGTCACGGGTCCTTCCTTCCAGCCTGATGCTACCCAAGGTGGAAAATCCTGAAGAAATCCAATGGGTGAGTAGCTGATGCTTTGAGTCTGATTGAAGACGAGGACCAGCTAAGAAGGAGTAGTCAGAAGGGAAGGATTTAGGTGCCTCAGGTTTTGAAAGGTCATACACAGAGCAGACAGGAAGGGAACTGAGAAAGAAGAGGCCATTTCCTTCACCCAAGAAGAATCTGGCATCTCCCACAAAGTGCCATGTGGAACAGCCCCACTTTTTAAATGGTGCCCCTGCTTGCTAATCAGATTTGAGTTTGGGACAGAACAGCCTCTTCAATAGCCCTCACAGATCAATCCCTGGAAACTAGCTTACCAGAGAATTGGGTCCTGTCTTGCACCCTGCCAGGACCTAACCCAAGGCTTCCAGCTGAAAGAGCAGGGATGCAAATGGCTTTTACCAAGATTCATTTGAAATAATCATGGACAGCAAAAGCACATTAGCCGTATATGAAAAAATGAACATAAAGAACGGGAAGAAAAGGTCACTCCGTAGGGCAGCTGGAGGAATAAACAGGAAGCTTTTAACTAATGGTTTTAATTAGCGCAGGTATTATTTCCTGAACAGTTAGTTCGCCATGGCTTCCCTTTTTAACTGTTGACAGGTGTGTTTGTGTTTCATGACAGACTTTTCAGCCAATAAAAGCCTGAAATGTAAAGTGGTTGGCACGTCAAATTACTTAAGAAAACTTTGAAATGGGCCTAATTATGCTATGATTGTTTTAATTGTGAACAGGGGGGGAGGCTAGATTTTATTTAGGGGTTACTATTATCCTGCAGCTGTCTGTTGAATAAAGTAACATTTCATTGCACCACCCCAGGACAGAGCGCCCAGGAGCTGGCAACCAGGGACGTGTTGTAAATCGTGTGAACAGTGCTGGTTTCTGACGCCACGTCTAGTTTTATCTGTAAGGCTGTCGATGCAACTATAGAAATACGTTCAGTGGTTGTAATACCTGAGGAAACTGCTCGTCTCTTTAATGCACCTGGATACTTTGGATCTGAGCTGTCCAGTGCAGTGACCACCAGCCACGTGTGGCTATTGAGTGCTTGAAACGTGGCGAGTCCAAATTGAGATGTGCTGTACGTGTAAAATACACACCAGATTTTGAGGACTTAGTACCCAAAAGAAGCATGTGAAATATCTCATTAATAACTTGTATATTGATTACATGTTGAAATGATCCTATTTTGGATTTAATGGATTAAACTCATTGCCGTTGAGTCAACTTCTGACTCATAGCAACCCTATAGGACACAGTAAAACTGCCCTGGAGGGTTTCCAAGGCTGTAATCTTTACAGAAGCAGATCGCCACATCCTTCTCCTGCTATTGGATTAAATACAAGATACTATTAAAATTAAATTCACCTGTTTCATTTTACTTTTTTTTTAATGTAGCTACTAGGAAATTTTAAGTTACGTGTGTCGCTTCCATTATATTTCTGTTGGACAGCTCTATGTTGGCATCTTCTTGAAGACTCATATTTAGGGATCAGTATTTACTTACTAAACAAGTTTTCCTCTCCCAGGTTACCCTGAGAAGCTGGGAGATACTGGTCATAGTATGTTAATGTCTTGGAGGGCCCTGCGCCATTCAGATATGTCTTAAGTTGATTGAAATGGAATCTGAAGTCACTGTTCCCCTTTGGTTTCATAGTTAATGCCTATTTATCACCGTTATGACCCTTAATTTGGGGTGAGGGACACACCAGCCATTTGCTGCAGCTTCTGTTCACTATTTTAAACCCTTGATTGTGAGGGACGTACTGCAAAGTAGACAACTAAAGATTAAATGTTTTAAATAGGATTTATGGTTAACAGAAGTCTCTTTGGCTGTTTATTTTTTCCTCTTCGTTTGTATTTATGTGAAGCATAAAACCTGGAGCCTGATGCACAACTGAGAGATGGGCTTACTTGTTTTCTTTTGTGTGAGAATCTCTTGCTCGCCTTTTGTCGCTAGTGTGGGTTCTTGTTTGACTGGCACAGCTTATTGGACTATAACAAGCGTAACTCTGCCTCCTTTGTCACGGGACAATTCTCCCACAAATCCCGAACAGTGTGCATTCTTCCAACACACTATTTGGTGTGCACTGGAATTGAAAGAATTGCTGAGCCCTGCTACTTCATCTCCTCCCCAATCTCTTTGTGATTTTCCCCCCTTCTTCCCCTCCCCCCCAGCCCCCTCCACCTCGATGAAATGAACATTTTACCAGGCCGGAAACATTTAATCGCCCCTTTTGAAAAAATTAATTGAAACTTATCCACTAGTTACCTTTTGTGCTAGTACTTAATGAAATTTTTAAGCAAGAAGGGGAGACGGGGCTAGAATATTTAATTTTTAAATGCCCCATTGGCTTAAAAATGAAAGGAATTATACAGATTTTTCTAAGAGCAGAGAATATATTCTAAAGTGTTGACCTGATTTTAAACTTTATGATTTTTGTAATTATAGCTATTATCACAAAGAAGGGGGCAAGGAATGTTTCAAGTCTTTTAAAAATGAGAGAAAAAAAAAAATTCCTCCACTGCATATTTTAACCCCAAAGCCCCTAGTATCTTCTTACCCATTTTCTAGCTTAAATGTGGCCTGACTTATGTTTTTATTTTCATTTACATCAAATACTATATACCTTTTGTCCCCTTCCGGTGTAGCCTTCCTTTCGTGTTGGCTGAGTTATTCCTTCCCTTGGAAAAGTTGCTCAGGAGGTGATGATGGTAATGTCTGAGGAAGGGAGAGGGCGGTGGGAGCAACTGGGAATAATTCTTCATTACTGAAAGCTGTGATTTATTTTCGCCTAATTGTAAAGTTACTGCAAATTGCTCAAAAGCTTTTTAAAGATCCCAGTGATTAGATTTTTTTTCGGAGGGGGGGTGCACAGGCAAGGGGAGGGGGCGGCTAAAAGGGGAAATAACACCTCTAATCCCGCTTTTGGTAAATAGGCTGCTAGCTTTTAAAATGAGTTTCCTTTCTATTAGTCAGAATATTATGCTAAGCCTTAAGCATTAGTTTTTTTATGTTGCCATAGCAGCCTTATTCCTGCAGGGTTGTGACCTGTGATGATTACAGTACAAAGCTTATAGGGTCTTGAAACCCCCTTTGAAGATGAAAAGTCTTTGATGGTTTATATTTATGCAAATCTCTTAGATATGATTTACCCAACTGAGACTGAATGGAGAGATGATTAAAATTCCCTTTTCCTTTGATATCCATTAATGGCTGAATATTCCTTAAATTTAAAATGGATATATATGTTTTCATCTTTATTTACAAAAATGTCTTTATCATACCTGTTTTTTTTTTTAATCTCACCACATCTTATTAGATCTAGATAGACATAATAGATTTACAATTTAGAGTGTGTGTGTGTGTGTGTTTTCCCCCTTTTGAAAGGGGGGGTGGGTAGAATCTGTGCAAGAGCTTTTGTGTGTTTCCAGATGATAGATTTTGGAATTTGGGCTACCCCACTGGCAACACAGAGCTAGCTGTGAACTGGTCTCATGGAAAAAATTGGAGAGCTTTGGTCTTCAAAGAATTAAACTTCCTTTTTAAGGTCTTCCTAGGTAAGCTAAAAAATTATGAAGAAAAACCTTCTGAACAAAGGGTAATGGTGCTATAATGAGTAATATGGATTCCACATTGAAGGCTGTTGAACAGTTAGCCTGATGTCAGCGCTGGGCGTGCAGCAAAAACCGAATGGCAGGTAGAGCAGGACTTCATTGTTTTTAGGGCCCACGTTTGCATTTAATGAATGAAGGCAAGAGGCCTTAAGTAAATATGTTTTCAAGGAAAGCATTCAAACTCTGAGACTCTCCCCATCCAGTTCTAACTTCTAGGCCTCAAACTGCTCCTTGGAGGGGGAAAAAATTCTAATGCTTAGAGTTTTACTATTTAGTTTGGTGGAAACTTTGTTACCTTTTTTTCTTGGGTCTTTTTTTTTTTTTAACTGGTTGCA